AAACACCGGCATCACCGATTTGCCTTTGATCTCTACGAATGCATCAAATGTATACAATCGCGCGCGCGCACATTCGGCGTTCGCTCATACCATCAACGTAATAATAACCGCGTGTAATCGAATTGGCAACGCTAATTTCGGTAATGGCCATATTCCGCCGTGCAAAATGAACGAAAGAGCGTTGATTCATTTGGTGGGTGTTCACACGCGCGCGAATTGTAATTAAGTGCACGGCGTCGTTATACTTTTGTATACACGCACGTATACGATTATATTATTATATCGTGATTACCGGCCGCGGAAGGGATGAGGGAATGATGTTTCGCGCTTTATCGATGCGACTTTTCGCACGATGTGTGTGTGTGTGTGTGTGTGTGTGAGTGTGTGTGTGTGGGGCACCGTTAATAATTCGTTCGCGAAGATCGAATTGTTTCCCGTTAAATTGACACGGTGTGTTAAAGCAGTGGACGCCCGCCGGGCGACCGCCATTTCGTAAACTATACGGATTACCGCGATTCCATTAATATACGTACATCGAACGCGCGGTGTTATTTCACGAAATAATGCGGTGGCGAACACGTGTGAAATTAACGCGCATATTACATTCCGAAAATAATCTTGTCCCGAATGCGAAGGTAATTCGATGTTTGCGTTAAATGTATTGAAATGCCTAATCTAACAAGACATTAATCCACAAAGACACTTGAGAATCATTAAGGCCATGCTAAATTGTGGCAAGCACATCTTTACAAGTCAATGACACAGATGTTATAAGAGAGAAATAATATATGGAATATCATACGTTTGTGTACTCGAATTACGCAATTTTGCGTAAATTATTTCATGCGCATAATTCTGTTAATTAAAAATTCAGGGTTTTATCTAACATCTTGTATGAGTATGTAAAATAAAAATTCAATTTTATTCCTCAAATGTCTCTTCAATGTTACTTGATGTTTCAGTAATGTTAATTGCCAACACAAGAACTTTTGTCTAATTAAGTTGGCCTCGAGCACTTACGAGGTATTATACGCGTATATCTAAGCATGCCTCAAAAGTATTATTGGAACCGAAAAACATTTTGCGATAGTAATTAGAGTACCATACAGCTGAAGATAAATATTTTGCAATGTGGCTAAACTATTTATATTAAGAATCTTTATGTTAGATCGCATGTGAAAAACACAATTAATATATATATATATATATATCATATTGTAGTATTTTTTAAACTTGCGCCAAATTGTTTTTCTGGATTATAAACGCAATTAAAATTATTCTAGTAAATATCGCGAATTAAATTGACAAGCAATTTAATAATTTGATGCTTGATACCATCAAGCATCATATTATAAAAATGTTAATATGTTGAAACTGTCAATAAATTTATTGCGAAAAATATTTATGTGACTATATAAACGTATCTATTGTATTCCAAGAATAAAAAATGCTATGTAAAATAAAGTATCATTAAATATTCTTAACACCATTATCGTCGCGAATATTAGAATTCTACGCCCCCAAAATAAGTAGAATTTGTTATCGCCGTCGAATAAAACTTGTCTATTTTAGAAATTCTTTTTATAATTTTATGAGAATTCTATTTATATAACAATTTTTAGATGTAATGAAAAAGAATATTATGATGTAATAAAGAGGAATGAAATATCAAAATGCACGATATGTAAAAATATAAATAGCATCCTGAAATCTGATGTGAATCGTAAATTACTTGAAGTATATTTAACTCAAAAAATGTCATGCGTAACGTTTCACAATTTTTTTGATAGAATATTTTGTATAGCATAGAATAATTATCGATTATACATACTTGCAATCATTTTTGTAAGCAACTTAGATAACGTGTACAGATATAACGTGATCTTCGAGAATTTTCAAAAGACGATGTAACAGCAAACGCACTTGTGTATTTATGTGTATATGTATTAATATTCAGATCAGAAAATAGATATCTGTGATTTATTCAGTCGCAATGCGACAATCGCCTCGTGCACTATGCATATTTAATGTATCATATAACGTTCGTCTTTCTTGCGCAACTTCAAAGACATAAAAGCTCACTTATTCTGTAATTTAATTGGAAAATTTCTATCAGCCCTCTTTTCCCTGCCTTTTTATCAGTATCAAGGTTTAATTACGCCAACGATTTCATGGGTGGAAAAAAAGTTGTGATTCACGAGAGAATGTGTCGCACGTATGCGTGTTTAAAAGCCATCATTCAGAGGCGCGTTATGCCTCAATTGCGTGTACAAAGAAGTATATACGCTGTTCCGCATTTCTCTCTCTCTCTCTCTCTCTTGCTGACACCGAGCGCTTCACGCTCCCTGGCTGCGTGAATAAATGCGACGTACGTAAATAATATGTTCCTTATTTACTACCGCTGAGTTAAAATTATAGAATTATGATTTACGATCACGCGCGTGAACACGTCTGTGAGGACGTAACGTTGATTTAACGTTACATTAATGAGTTACGGCAGATAGGCGAGCACCTTCGCGTCCCACGTGAATTGTTATTATTAGAAATGAGATTAAAAATATGTTGTAAGCAACACTGATAACAGCTACTTCATGTTCAAATAATTTTATCAGTGCCGTTACAGCATAAATATAATCGAAATTTTTACATTGTAATCGAAATTAATACCTATAAGCGGAATAAAACATGATAGTATCGTAATATAATAGAAAAACTTTGTAAAACATTTCTGAACTTTTATAAATACTTTAAAGTATAACAATGGACGACAAAACAAACAATCATGTGATATTAATGAACAAATAAAAAAAGTCAAAATGTTATTATTTTCAAAATTATATATTTTTTTATCATATATGATATGTCATATTGTTATTAAAAAGAAAGATATCCTATTTTTTATTTTTATAATTCTATTTTTCACATACAGTATCTTTTTCTATTTTTATCTAAAGATTAAATTTTATAATTGTTTATAGATTAAATTCTTTCTATTCCATTAGATATCTCGTGATGTTATTTATGACACATTCGCTGTTTTTGTGTATATAAGGTTTATTAAAAGTCATAAATAATAAAGGCGATGAGACTTTGGTAAACAGAATAGTTGCGACTTAAGTATATTTAAAGAATCACGATCATTGTAAATTATCTCATTAATATAAATTCTAATTTTTTATTGTAAAAAATACAGAACATTTTTTAATTTTTATAAGGAATCGCAGAATTGTGAAAAATGTTACTGGAACTGTTTTTTTTTTATTTCGATAAAATGTGTTAATTTAATAAACAGATCGGAAGTTACAGCACAACGCATAATTTTCGATTATGCATGACAATTAATGCTCGGACGATTCCGATGGCGTATAACTTAATGTTGACGTTATAACTTGTAGGTTTGTCCGACACGAATAACTAATTACTTTTTCCGTCTTCCGCAATTAGGCGGTTTCATAGCCGTCTTTACTGCAGAATTCAGTGGGATTCTAAGTTCTCAAGCGGACCATATATGATATTACATTGAGAAAAAAAATTGTTAATTTGACTAAATGCGTTTATAGTTAGTACTGCGATTTTTTAGTTCAAGTATTTATGTATTTAGGTATATATGAGTTATATTAACAAAATCTTGTAATTTTTAAAACAGTTATTTGTTTGAATTAATAAATATTTATTTGGCAGCCCGTAACCGCCGTATTTAGTGGAATCAACTAATATTTTTTTAAATAAACAACTTTCTCAATGTAGCAAAAACATACAGTCAAAGTCAAAGCGCGAGAACGAATCCTACAGTTTTGCGTTTTTGCAGTATTCGAGTTCAAATAACGTGATGGTGGACTCGAATGCTAAAAACAATTATAGATATCATTACGAAAAGAAAAAAATAATGTAAAAAATAACCACATCCAATTAATCTATATCTGTGTTAAATTGCTTAGTTTCAAAGTAATATTCACATTATGTTGCTTACTAAGCAATTCAACCACATAAATCGATTGATTAGATGTGGTTATTTTTTGACATCATTTATTGTGCATTTAATACGTGATTGAAGTTTTTGCAATTACCTATATAAAATGAGTCCGTGACTCTTTTACGATTATTGTTCGATTCAATGAAATGATATCTAGATACTGAATTGATTGAGATTCATGGATACACATTAATTATAAATTTTATATGTCCCGTTTCTATTATTATATCGATGTTATCGTGTTTAGACGATTGCATGGACACACTATATTTTACGATGAGACTCGCAGTTTCACATATTACTACAAATATTTTATGCACAATGCAGAATTCTAACGTGAAGATTGAATTATTCCACTGAGTTCGTCGTATTGAAATAACAACCAAACTGCTGCAAAAAACGTACAATTCATCCATACAAGATAAAATCGCATTTAATGAAACGAGAAACGATTTACTTTATAAGCAGATAATCAATCTTCGCGTTTATATTATTTCATTTATCATTATACCTCACTTTTATTCATCGATTATCATACTTAATATTCCCTGCAGCATATAAACTTGAAAATGAAAATATCTAAGAGATATGAGAATTTTTATCGTAAAGACTTTATTTTAGATTCCATCTTCAATATTTATAATCTGATTTCTGTTTATACGTTTTTAAGGAGACAATAAAAGGACGAACAATTTCAAATTTATACCGATATGAATTTTCTCAATTTTCTCAAACTCCATCACCGGAATTTCCAAAATCGCATCAGCGTTGCATTGTTAGACTTTGAGTTGTATTACGCATCGTATTCTTCGTGCAAAACTTCGAAGGTGCCGTCACGTATTACCGATCGCCTGTCATTTATTATCGAGACGTATCTCACTTCCAGTAAAAACAAAAATTACACGGGACTTTTCCTTTCCTTTACGATCGTGCGGATTCATTGACGTGATCTATGGTGAGTGCCTTCGGCGGGGAATCGGACTGACAGAGTGGGAGATGAATTATAAAGTAGCGGTTCTACAGTGAGAGGTCTTACAGTTACACTTTGCCCGTTTGCTGCATCAAAGCCGTGCGTTGCACGTGCGAGCTTTTACCAGGTCACGTGTGTACCGAAGTGCATCGACAAAAGATTCATCAAGAGGAGAGGCTGTGTTCCCCATTGTAACGTTAGTATTATTTTTTTTTTGTGAAATGTTTCACAACTCAGAGTTAATCTGCGTTATTTTTTGTTTCCTGACTTCTTCTCATTGATTCCCAATTTGCCATTTTTAATCCCCCTCGGCAACACCTGCGTTATCGCGATATCTAAATTGTATGACTGTTAACGCTCGAGAACTCATCCCGCTCTCGCAGAAAAAGGTTTCGGAGTACGAGGAGCTTATCGATTTGTGTCTGCGCTAACCGCGGACCCTATCGTGTTTTTCCTCTTTTTTTTCCTCCCCCTCCCCCTCCCTCCTCTCTCTTTTTTGCACAATCTCGTGTTGTAGCTCGGTTGCAATAAATCATACGCGCATTCGCCATATATGTTCAACAGTTTGATGTGTGTACATTATAAATGGTGGACATAAAACGCGATCCCATTCGTGTCATTCGTGATTCACGTGACCCGAGGGGGTTTCGACGTTACGAAATTAGCGCATGTTAATTAACATCAGCACGATTTTCGCGGAGGTGGTCCCCTGCATCGGCGGAAGGAGTAATATGCGATTTTCGTACGGCGCACGAACGACAAATTATGTAAATTGATCGCGATAATCATTGCACTTAGATCGCGACGACTCTTTGTGGCCCGTATTTCGTTTCTCCGGGCGCTAATGCACGCGCGTAATGGTACAGAAAGGCAGTAGTGTTAATTGGGGATGAATTAATTAACACGCTCGGTTAATTATAATGCTATTAACTCTTCCCTTCCGTTAATTAAAGGGAATATTTATTTATGTTAAACGCTGTGCTCCGCTGCGTGCGTGTCGCCGCGGACGAAAGCTTATGGTAATTAATGTCGCGACATAGATTGCTCGTCTAAAAAAATTAGGAATGATCTCATCGATGGGTCTTAAATTCGAAACGTGAAATATTGAGTTAATATATTAAAATGGCAGATTCCTCGCTTAAAGTTAAATGATGTAAGTATACGGGTTTCCACTTGACAGGTATTTTCTTCGCGTCAGGTTTTTCTGGGCGGAAAAGTGAATTTACGCGATAGGTTCGATAAAAATCCCTGACTCCGATTAGCTTGCAACGGATACGAACATTAACTGCCTCTGAAAAAACAAAACTAGAAATCGTGCGAAATGTCGTAGTGACAGGCAGCTAGTAACGCCAATTAAATATGATTTTGTACGATAGTTGGAATTGCGGGCTCACGTGCCGTCATGCGACGCGTAAATCGTGGCTTTACGTGGTTTCGCGTTATTGCGCTTCCATGCATTGATCTGTTAAGTGTACCAAATATCGCAATCAATTTACGATCACACTCTCGCCGTCGTCTCTTTTTACAATCGACAGGTATACATGACGGGGGATAAATGTGACAATAACATTTAGAACAGCAATCATGATAGAGACATTCTGCATTCTGCTACATATATTCCAATCTCTCGACTTTATCTCACTTTAATGTAGTATATAGAATAAATTGCAAGAATATTACGATGCATTTTACGGGCAAACTATTAAAAGAATATCAAAAACGCATATCAATAAACACAAAAATTATATTAATTAGAATACGACGCAACATTCGGTTATTATTCGGTTATATAACACATCTAGACTTGAATTCTCTCATGAATTTGATTGGAAGGAAGTCGAAATTCTAGATAAAGAAACATTTTTACACAAAAGATTGATTTCAGAAATGATTTTTGAAAAAGAAATAAATTCACGATTTGAATACTAAAAATGAAACGGAATCTCTTGATCCTCTGTATTTAAATTTATTTAAAAAGACATGATGCATCCAGAAAAAGGTTTCTTCGATTCAAAGAAATGTTTCTTAGATTAAAGAAAAAATTTTTTTGATTCGAGCATCATTTTGTTAATTTAAACTTTTATTTATTGAAATTAAATAAAAGAATTTATTTAACTTAAAAAATTATGTTTAAATCAAAGAAATTTTTTCTTTAATCATAGCAAAGAAATATTTTTTTGGATTAAAGAAATCTTTCTCCGAGTGTACTTGCCTCTTTTTATTGTTCTTTGAAATGGTCACGTTCTTTGATCGGTCAGCAGACTGAACTGTTGCGAAGCGCTCACTGCTATTGGTATATTCTTTTAAATCATCCAATAGCAGCGAGCATTATGAGGTCTGCTGAATGCGACCATTATTTATATATGCCTCAGTTTAATCACGACTTTCACATGTGGTTCAGCGTTCGATCCGTTACGTGAATAACGGATTTACCTAGGTATTTTTCATGTAAGTGCAAAATTTCGTTATTCTCATAAAAATTGTACGTTATTTTTAATTTATTTATAGAACTGTCCCTATTAATGTGCCTTTTAGTCAATTTGCTTATTAATTATTTAATATTATAGCTTTAATTTTATCTGCTTGTAATCAATATCGATTTTTCAACTACTTCTTTTTCTTATAATATTTCTTTAATCTAAAAAATAATTAATATTTTATAATATTTTTGATAATAAAAAACATTTTTGTCGCTATTAATGAATCATCCAAGGTGATGGTCCTATTAATGTGCCCCCAATTTGTGTGCCTATCCACATTTGACTCATTTTAACATATAGTTACTAAAACAATATAATAAATTTAAGCTAATTGTTTAAATTAATATATTACATATATCATTATTTCAATTATATTTATTTCAATGTACACTCATAACACAACGTGTTCTCAGCCCCAATACAGGGCACATTAATAGGGACAAGTTTAAAATCTCATGGTATATATTACTGGATTCACATAAATTTCTCATATCTTTTGAAAAATATTTAAAATACTTTAATACTAAAAAAAAAATATTATCTTCAGTGTCGTGCCTGCATTAATAATTTAATTTAATAACACAAAATATTTTTTTTTATTTATTCGTGCTAGTTTTTTTTATGACTTATCAAAATACAAAAGCACATTAATAGGAACAGACACAGTAATTGGGACAGTTACCCTATTCTCTCAGTTAATTTGGAAATTCACTTATCATGCGCTTGGATAATACGCTGTTAAAAATTTATAAAATTATAAAATTTAATGTACTTTTAAGTTACATGAGCTTCCGTTACATGAAATTAATTTCACGATATTACATTAAATTTAATGTATTTGCAACTGAAAAGTATATTTGTGTACATGTATATGACATTTTAAGTACTTTTCATAAAATTTTATATTGATTTGAAGAAATTTAATGCATATGTTCATTACATTTAAGATTTATTGTTATTTAGTTTTCAATTAAATCATTTATTACTTTTACTTTAGTTACCTCATGACTACAAGTTTCCGTTACATGTTACTTAAATTCAAAACATTTAACAGTATGCATATTTTTGTAAAAAAAATATCTTGCACAATACTATATCACCACAGATTATTTTCTCTTAATGTAGAGTTTTATATGACGACTATATTCAATATTGAGACTTTTTCTTTATTTTAATTCTTTTGATATATTGAGAAGGAACATCTACAATTTGTTATATTATATTAATAAATAAAATTTATTTACACGCGTTCATCTTGACTCTCAGTGACACTATTATTTACTGATATATTCTATTATCAGTTATTATCAGAATTATCAGTTAATAAAAACAATAGCAAAATAATCTTTTTTGAAGATGATTTTGCTTACATATAACTTTAGCTATAGGTACAGATCTGAAAATAATTTTGTTGAATCATCAAAATAAATACATAGAATCCTCAAGCTAGCATGTCAAAACTTTTGCAGCACTGTTTATTATATTTGAGATTCCTATGAAATTATTTTGATAGTTCAACAAAATTACTTTCAGATCTACATTCAGCTAACTTTTAGTTGCTTCTGCAAAATCGTTTGTTCCATTTAATAATATGATTATCGTTCAGCTGCAGATACTCTAATGATAATTATTGTTATATTCGCAGAATGTCGTCGATCGATGTGTCAGTCAGTCCACAATGCCCGATATCAGGACCGAACCTTGCTCAAAGTTGTCCGGGATCACAATATTTGGTATTTATGACGTTATTGGATATGCTTATACAATCCCAGGAGAAGGTGTCTCAAACATGCGAGCGTGTAAAGTCAAAAATTCCACCTGAGTACCAATACGATTTCATCGTCGTCGGCGGTGAGTAATCAGATCTTAATTTGCTGATTAACTTCAAAGCACGTTATTAAAGTGCAGGAATTAATAAATGAATTTTTTCTACATTCATTTATCATACATTGCCGCGAGATTTTTGCGCTATCACAAATTATCTATTATAAAAACGACGCCAAACAAAAAAGCATTTATCATTTTTTAAACCTTCCTAAAATATTTTTAAATATAAAATTTGAATATAAAATTTTTGCCAACTTTTAGTACTTTTGTTTTTACAATGTTCTATTCTTAGTATTTACGATCGTATTAATATAAAAATCCGTGAAAGAATCGAAAAAATCATTTTTTATTTTTTAAACTTTTTGAAATATTTTAAAATACAAAGAATAAATATGTGTCAATTCTTAATATTATTTTTAGAATTAATCGTAATCACGAATTACTGTAAAAATGGCGCTGTATGACGAATCGAAAAAAGTTAATTTTTATTTTCTTCAAAGATTTTAAAATATTTTCAAAAATAAAATATAAATTTCTGCCTTAATACTGTTATTTTTTAGAATTTACTATCAATAGAAATGATATTCTCAGCAAGAATAAATTGCAACTTTAATATCGTAAAACTTGAAAAACAAGATCTCAGTCTTTAATCATGTAGAATCAGAATGCTGATATATGTCGATATCGAGTTCATTTATCATGTAGTCAGCTATTGTGCGATTCTCTAATTGCTTGTATTAGTTTTTCTGATGAAGCTATCGCTTAGAAACTGTTGTTCCACAAAACGATAGCAGAAACTATTATCTGTTTAATTAAGAATAAAAATGTAATGACTATTTGTTACGTTGAAAGGAAGAGTAAACTAATGAGTCGAGGAAAGTAAAGGCCGGTGATTTTCAAATGGATAAGTGAAATTGATCGATATAATTGGAATGTATCCTTGTGTGTTCCTTACGTATGCGTGTGATCGTTGTAACCGGATTGAGTGTATTGATTCGATCGAGCGCATGATAACAATCTAGTCGGCCTTATTAGAGTAATGAGCCAATATCTTGTGAAAATGTGCGAACAACAAATCATTTCACAGATCAATATTGATCATTATTTAAACGCAATTTCGCGAAAGGTTACAGATTTCGATAAACAGACCAAAACAGCTCGGTCCACGGTAACAGAAACTAGATGACGCGGCTTGTAAATACCGTTCATTACGTGTGAAAGTCAGCGCAGATTGGAAATAATAAACTAATGCGCAACCTTCAAAGATGATGGTTATACGGGTCATATCGAAACGCCGCTCATTATCTATTTTCTTTCTTTTTTTCTAGACAATAGAAATCTAAACACAGGAAGTAAAACAAAATGTATAATCTATAAATGATGGAGCGTTAATAACTCAAGCAAATGTATACGCGGTGATTATTCGTAGTACTCACATATTACTATTGCTCTATATATCTAGCAAATAGAACTTTGATAATATTACACAATAATACAATATAAACGGATATAATCGCACGCTATCACGCGATGATTCAGTCGGTACCTGATATTTGCACCAATATAACATAATTGTATTAATGAAATATTTGCCGGGGATACATAATTCATCGAGAGAATAAAAAACAACTGATGTTTCGCTCGTAAATTTAGCGACGCTGGCACACATTAGAGAAACAATTTCTAGCGCATTCGCATATGAATGTTTATAAAGAGTGTTTATAAACATGAAATCAAATTTATACTGTGTTAATAAAGTCTAGTAATTGAAAAAAATTCACGAATTGACTTGTTCCTATAACTCGTTAAATGGAATTGCTGAGTCAGAAACAAGTACAACTGTTAATCATTGCTTATATATCTTGATCTAAGGTACCTATATATGTTTCATAAATAATTACAATAGTTTTTTGAAATTTCTTTCTTTTGTAAAAATGCAAACTTTCATTCATCAAATTATGGTAAAATTATTTTGAATATATTTTTAAAACTGATTCCTCTTTTTATCAGTTTGTCATAAACCATTACTACAATAAGAATACTTTTCTGCTTAAATAAATTTTTGAATCTTATAACTCTTTAATAAATTATTTTTGCCTGGAAAAAATGACTAAAAATTTAATTCGAAACACAGATCTGAAAATAATTTCGTTAAAATATAAAAATAATATGTAGAACGCTCCAACTGGTTGCTAAAATGTCAAAACTTCTTGGACATCATATTTGAGCTTTCTAGATAACTTTTCTGATGGTTCGATAAAATTATTTTCAGACCTAAATTTTTAGATATATCAACAAAGTCGTTTTTTCCATGTGGACAAAAATTTATATTAATCTTTTTTTTATCTACTTGGTTCCATTAACACTCTGTGTAAATCCAATGTATAAATTTGTAATAAAAAATTCATTATAATCACTGTATATATATATACATATATATATATATATATATATATATACATATTTTTTTTTATCAAATTTATCGAACTCTTCAATACACAAACGTTACTTGACACTATCACAAATGTTACAAACGAACGAGTCTCTCACAGCTCAGGGATTAATTTTCTATACAATTAATACTTCTCGTTGTAGCCTGTTATAACGGCAATAATGCATAAACTCGAGAATTCGAGTATTTCCCCCGCTGGGAAGAACAAAGGATTAACAGTAAGTCTCCCGACGCGCAACGCGATATTCGTCGCGATTTTTCGACATTTATATCCGATCGTGGAGCCTGGCAGTAAAAGAAAAAAAAGGGGGAGAAAGGAGAAGCACATAATTGAATATTTTAGTATGCGGTTGATAAAATCCGTCGTGTAAATCCCGTCCCGGAAATTTGTCGGGAGCGAACGATATCGAACTCGGGATCGAGCGATCGAAACTAATTTTCTTTGCTTCCCTTTCGGTGATTATTCCCGATAGGACTCCCGGGATATCCGGACGGGAAGATGGAATTTTTCAGTGACTCTACCGGTTATCCGGTTGCTGCATGGATGACCGCGCTTCGCCCACGATATCGACCGACTCTCTCTTGTCGGCCCAAATTTTCCGTCCCGCGAGAATCCTCGCTTACCCTGTAAGTAAGAATACCGCGCTGCACCGCAGAAAAAAAAAACACGTAAAAGGTATAATAAACGTGGAAAGTCTCTTCGTTTCCTCGACATTATTACGATTGCTGTACTTTTAATTAGAGACACGACACTAAGTCTGACATTGTATAAGAATATGGTAGGTGTTTGCAAATAAACGTGTGTCACCTAAGAAATGAGAGGATACAGAAATAAACGTGTAGAAATGTACTTGTGTGAAATGATTAATCGTTACGGTCGGTGACCGCGAGTGTATTATCGCGTAAAGGTGAGAAGAAAATATTAATAATACCGTCGCTGAGTAATTAGCGTGATGCTTATTAATTATTCCGTCAATGCCCGGTTGGACGAAAGAAGTTCGCGGAATAATTATAATGGCGCAATGCTCGAAGTAGAAGTTGGAGGGCGGTAAAAGGATCGAGTCGACTGGAAAGGAAAGAAAATGGGTTTTGTCATTATCATTAGAATTGGAGCGGTACGCTGTCGCGATAAAGTCTTCGCTGAATAAAATCCCGATATGAATAGCGCGGCGAGACGTAGTATAATTGAAATAATTGCAAAGATGTCGTGACACATCTCGGTTAAAAATAAAAATTATGTTGAAAGCAAATCGACGGGAGAGGGAGACGTGAATCGCAAAAAAATTTTGCGAGGCAAAAGCTTATTATTCCGCCAACGGTCGACGTAAAGAATGATGAAGGTGCACTTGTAACAATCCGGAAAATAAGCGCCCTTTATCGCTCCGAGGTCGTTCCTGAATGTACAGAAGATGGATTAGAAAATCAAGATAAAACCGGTTTGCGGAAAAAAGTGTGAAGTGAACAAAACGAATGTACTGTTAGTACGCGCCGACTGTTTATGTGACCCGTAAACATAGTTTTCATGTATAACGCAAGATCTAAACCCCCGAAAAATCCATTGTAATAACAAATGTTTTTTCGCGCAACGTTTATTTCGCATTCCCATTATAAAACGAAAGGGGGGGGGGGGGGGGGGAAAGAGGGAAATGTTGCGTTCGTTCTCCGATGAGAAACGAAAGAAATACGTATGAATAAATATATTCAACGTAACGCATTAGCAAATGAAATAATCACTATAAAACGTTTTACAACAATTTATGCTATAACCCTGCGTTCCGTAACCGGAATAATGAAAGAGCGGGAAATATATTTTCATGCGTAGCATCCGCAGCAACAGTAAACATACAATTTTCACGAATTATTCGCGAAAATTTAACAAGCTATTAAAGCACTAATTAAAAAATAATTGGGAATAGTTCGGTTTAAACGGAACGCTCGACAAGATCAAATCCATGTGAGAAAAAGAAAAAACGAGATAAATAAACAGATAGATAGATAGAGAAAGAGAGAAAAAGGAGAGGAAAGGAGAGGGTACGCGCGCTCGTCTCGCAGCGAATTTTGCCTCCGTCGCGCGCGAGCGAAATGGAAAAAAACACTATAAACCTTCCGGTGGCGTTTACATGTTTACCATGGCCAAACACAGTTATCACGAGTCGTCGCTCGTGGCCCATGGGTGGTAATTGTTATTTGTCGTTTACAGGAACGCGGCGCGATCTCACCGGCGAAAATGCAATTCGACGCGCATGATCGTACCTACATACCGCGCATCCCCCGCTCGGATGCGATATTAATACAGACCGTTATTTATTCGGTCACGAGGCGCGTGATTATTGCATCATTAATTTAATTACCGCCCTCGTGCCGTTCACCTTCTCTCTCGCTCTCTTTCTCTCTCTTTCTCCATATCCTTTCTGTCGAAACCGCCTCGTCCGACGCGGACCGTCGCGTCATTACACCGATGAAGCTATACGTTCCATTATTCCATACGTTCCCTGTTCCAGCCTGTCGGGACATATAAATCCTCGAAGGTAACAAAATTCGTCGAGATAGAGCGAGAGAGAGAGAGAGAAAG